AATAGGAGTTTTTAACATTTTTTTTTCCTGTCTTACCACAGACTAGCATGGGAAGCAGTACCTGGATCACCCATTCTGTGTGCTTAAAAAACTGATTCATTCAGACCTGAAATCCCAGCACGGGCAGAGGAGAGGGGAGAGCCCTGTGGTAGTTTGAGTCTCTGTCTAAAAAACAAAAACAAAACAAAAACAAAAAAAACCCCAACCCTCCCAAAAAAAAAAAACAAAAAAAAAGAGAGAAAAAGACACAGAAATTGCAGCAACAAGAATATGTATTTCCTCTCAGAACATGGCTCTTTCTTGGACTTGGAGTGCTTTCATTTTCTTTTGTTTTACCAAACTGCCCCCACTTTATTATTATTGCATGTCTGACATAGATTGAAATCAATTTCTGTTGTGCCTTCAAAGAGAAAAGCAACAAACAGCCTTGGACCATATCAAGGCAGTTTCCAATGTGGAATGAAAAGGGACTGATGAGTCTAGGTGCTCCAAAATCCTTGTCCTCACTGGTTGTCCTGTCTCTGAAGCATGTCTTTGACCTAGTATGAGTCTGGAGTGATTGGCGCCTCTTTCTTCAAGGGCTCAGAGCTGTGTGGGAATTGTAAAGCTAGCCACTGGATTGCCCACAGTGTGGCCATTCTCATACTTTATTGCTGTCTTTGGCAGCTGCTCTTGACATGGGACACCTCCCCAATGGAACACCTCCCCAAATGGGACACCTCCTCAGAGCTTCTGTCCCTGGTCACTGCCCATCTGTGCTCAGAGCGTACCTCATCTCCCTTAAAGAGAAGGTTTAGCTGGGCATGTGGCCTACACCTTTAATCCCGGCACTTGGGAGGCAGAGACAGGCAGATCTCTGAGTTTGAGGCCAGCCTGGTCTACAGAGTTTTGAAAAACCAGAAAAGGGGCATGGGTGTTAGTATATTAGTCAGGTTTTCTATAGGAATAGAAATGATAGAATATATATATATATATATATATATATATATATATATGCATATATATGTATGTGTGCTGAGAGCGTTATTTGATTAGTTTTCAGGGTGTGTGTGATCTGGGCAGCCCAACAATGGCTATGCAGTTCCAGTCTGTAGCTGAAGGCCTAGAAGATTCCTCAAGAGCTGTGGGCCTTCAGGTTGTGTTGGAATCCCCAGGAAAGAGGTTCTAATACAGGTGAAGGAATGTCTCAGCAACAGAATAGATGAACTTGCCAGTGAGAGTGAGGGCGAATAGGTAAAGAACCATTTCCTACCTCTGTGTCCTTTCACCAAGGCTGACACCAGAAGGTGCTGCCACATTCAGGGTGGATCTTCCAGCTACAAATGGTCCAACCAAGAAAATCCCCCGCGGGAGAGCTCAGCAGCTTAGGTTTTAGTTGATTCCAGATGCAGTCAAGTTGACAACCAAGATTTGCCATCACACGTAGGCAGTGGCCAGTTTCTACTTCTAAATCAGCTTAAGAACCTATTTGGAAGCTTTCAAAGTAGCCAGTCAGTCATGTGACGTGAATGGTTTTGGCGGGAGCCTGGCTCGTTTATGTTCCTAAGTGGATATCATAGCTATAGTCATGGAAAAGCCCCACAGTCAATGCCTCTCAAAGCAAAGATCCCATTTCCTCTACAAAAAGGGCTCCAGCCAGCGAGTCCCCAACCATAATAGGTATGGGCAAGCGTTCAGAGTGGCGAGAGGTGGCGCGTTGTACAGCATTGACTCCAGCACTCAGAGTTTTTCCAAAGCTGTTTTAACAGCCAATAAAATTAGTCAGCAGGGCCTGTTAAGCAGCCCAGCCTCGTTAAGATGCTGGAAGGTTCTAGAATCTGCTGGAAACAGGCAGAAAATAAAGAAAATGAGGACATCAGGAGGTACGAGAAGATAGATCGTTGGGGCAACAGAAATCCCATCATAAGCATGACCTCTCCTGCACTGTCCTGCATCACCCACTCTGTCCTTTGAGTTTCATGAGACACTTGGGCTTTCTGACCTGACTGGAGTCTTCACAGTCTTGGGAGAGAGAGATTCCTTCCATCCATGCTACAGCTGCGAGCCAAGAAAAGAGAACAGCATCCCTTCCTTAGGCACTAGAGCTGAGCTAGCGTCCCTGCCCTGGCCTAAGTACCTCGGACTGACTTCTAATTTTAATGTTTTTGTTTATTTGTTTGTATTATAAAAGTGAAGGTGTTCATTTAAAAATTCAGAAGAGTGTGCCTGGCGAGATGGCTCAGTGGTGACCAGCACTGGCTGATCTTCCACAGGACCCAGGACCCACACAGTGGCTCACAACCGTTTGTAATTCCAGTTCCAGGGGGATCTGACGCCCTATTCTGGCCCCCACAGACGTTAAGGCACACACATGGTGTACAGACACACATGCAGGCAAAACACACGCACACATTTAAAAAAAAGTATTTTTTAAAACTTGGAAAAGAATAAGAACTAACCTGATTTTTTCACAGCTTTCCTGTTATATAGGTTTTATATATAAATCCTTGTGCCCACGTGGCCGACCGGCGGCATTCAGAAAGTACAGTCCAGAAATAGTTTGGACTATTTCTGCTCAAACCAAAAATAGTTCAAAAGGAAATGGTCTTTAACCAAGTACCCTGGCACCTCCTCAGGCCCCGTGGCAGCGTGTGAGCCTCCTCTCGGGGCCCCGATTCTCTCCTTGCTTCTTCTCAGTGTCCATTAGATGCTGTTGAGGTGTATGTCTGTGTGAGTCACTAGGCAGCCCTGGAGATTTCTGCACCTCCTTTTCAAGGGGGAGGGAGGAGGCCTCATGAGATGATGTACGCCTGACCCAGAGGAGAGGTTCAGTGTCTGGTCTATTCATGGTTTTCTTTCACTCCTCTCCAAAAAATTCCCTCACACCAAAAATATCTACAGAGCAATACATCGATGAAAGAAATATATAGGCCACGGCTCCTCACGCACTCCAGGTGAGGAGGAAAAGCCTAGATAACAGGAGGGACGGGGGACGATGTAGACAGCTGGATGAGGGTGGAGGGTGTGGCAGCTCCTCTGGTGGGGCAGGGGCTGGACAAGGCCATCTCTGACAAAGTGACACTCAGACTTCTCCCTAACACAGGGCAGGTGCCACCAGAATGAATGAATGAATGGATGAATGAATGAATGAATGATGAATGCCCAGACACTTTCAACTGAGGTAGGACTCCTTCCTTCCCAACAACCCAAGGTTTCTGCTCTTTAGACTTTAACTAATCTCATCTGCCTTATCAGGGATACTCTTTTTAAACTGTTAAGAATAATACCACACTTGATCTAAAGGCCCCAAACCAGGAAGGAAAATCTGTCTTATTTTAATTAATTAATTAATTAATTACTGTATTTTTGAGACAAAGTCTTCCTGTGTAGCCTTGGCTAGTCTGAAACTTGACATATAGACCAGGTTGGTCATGAACTCAGAGATCTGCCGGCCTCGGCCTCTGGAGGACTGGGATTAAAGGCTTGTGATACCATGCCCAGTGATGCCCCATGATCAGTTTTATTTGCACAGGTTATATATAAAAGAAGCTAAATAAAAGTGGACAGCACACATTCCCACACAGGCCGGTGTTTATTTTAAAAAATCAAGTAGCCGAGCCGAACTGGCAACACAGTGAACCGCTGTGCTGGGTGAGCGACGTTTATGGCATTAGCCAACTGTGGCACACTGGTTGTTGTTACGCACCGGTGGCTACCGAAATGCCCAAGAGTGTCCCTTGGTCCTGGGTCCCCTGCTAAGTAGCAGTCCTGGACACACATCACAGATATGCCAAATTGCAGGGCCAGGAAGGGATGCTGGGGAATGGGGATGAAAGGGAATTCATAAATAAATACATAAACAGGGCAATAAATAAAACAAGAGAAGGGCTTTGGGTGGGAACTAATGAGAGTGCCAAGAAGCAGGGGTGTTCCAAGGTTAGCCTTTTATGCCGAATGCCCCAGGGAAAACTTAAAGACAATGCTGAGCCAGACTCCTGGGTGTTCACAAAGAGCAGACTGACCCGAGCGTGAAGATTGCATAGGGGTTTTATGCAGCTTCCCCTAAAATCAGCAAAAGCTGGGACCATTCCAAATGGTCATCAGCCAGGAACGGATAGACAGACTGTGGTTTCTATGCAATGGAGTGAGACTCAGTGACAACGGCCGCCGGGGCACGCATTGGCAAAAACCAACCCTATGCCAGCCAAAGCGGACTCAGAGAGCCTGTGTGTGCTGCTCCAGGTCACGCAGAGCAGATCGTGTGCGTGTGCGTGTGTGTGGTGAGGCATCACATGATGCTGCAGTGTGGCATGATGGGATTTAGCACATTCTCAGGTGCACATACCTGAAGTCATCAGAGCTAGAGGAGAAATTCTCCCCATCTGGTCACTTGCTCTAATCCAATAGATAGAGCCACAGATGTTTGGAAATTTTATTCAGTACTGCCGTTAAAAGTGAGGTACTGGGAACATGCTACACATTCCTAGGATCCAGAAAAGTGTGAGTCCAGCTGGTAGCATCTTCCTGGGAACACTGGAGCCAAAGTTTGTTTATTACTTTTTTATTTTTGTTTCTGGTGTCTGTGTGGTTGGTGCGTGTGCAGCTGTACATATATGTGGAGGGTGTTGGTGTGTGTGCAGCTGTACATAATATGGAGGCCAGAGATCACCCTTGGGCATCATTCCTTAGGCACTGTTCACTTTGGTTTTTAAAAGGTTTAAATTTTTTATTTTGTAACAATGTTTGCCTGCATGTATGTATGTGTACCATGTGCATGCCTGATGCCCACAGAAGCCCGAAGAGGGCATCATATACCTTGGTTCTGGAGTTTGAGTTGGCTGTGAGCCACCATGTAGGTGCTGGGAACGAAACCCAGATCCTTTGCAAGAGCAGCAACTGCTCGTAACCCCTGAACCATCCCTTCAGCCCCCACCTTGGTGTTTTGAGACTGAACTTGCAAAGAAGTTTAATGTCTTAGTCACTGTTCTATTTCTGTGAAAAGACACCACGGCCACGGCAACTCTTGGGAAGGAAAGCGTTTAATTGGGGATTTGCTTATAGTTTCAGAGGTTTGGTCCATTTTCATCATGGCGGGGAGCATGGTACTGGAGCAGGAGCTGAGAACTACAATCTGATCCAAAGGCAGAGAGAGAGAGAGAGAACAGACAGACAGACAGACAGACAGGCTTGATATGGGCTTTAGAAAGCCCGCCCCCAGCAACACACTCCCTTCAACAAGGCCACATCTACTCCAGCAAGGCCACACCTCCTAATCCTTGTAATCTTTTAAAACAGTTCCACTATCTGGTGACCAGTCATCAAATACATGAACTTATAGGGGCCATCCTTATTCAAACCACCACAGTTAGGTTGGCTGGCCACCAGATCCCAGGAATCCTCCTGTCTCTGTCTTCCCAGTGCTGAGATTACAAACTCAAGCCCCTAGGCCTGCTTTTCATTTTTATTTTATTTTTTACATGGATTCAGGGGACTGAACTTGGGACCTCATGCTTGAGAAGCACTGTACCAACTGAACTTGTGCCTAAGTCAGGCTGTTCCTTTTATTGTGTTGAGATCTTTGTGCTTGATATATCGTGCACCCCAATAAACTTATCTGGGGGTCGGAGAACAGAGCAGCCATAATATTAAACACAGAGGTTAGGCAGTGGTAGCACACGCCTTTAATCCTAGCATTCCAGAGGCAGAGATCCATCCGGATCTTTGTGAGTTCAAAGCTACACTGGAAACAACCAGGCATGATGACTCACACCTTTAATCCCAGGAAGTGGTGGCAGAAAGCAGAAAGGTATATAAGGCGTGAGGACCAGGAACTAGGCTGGTTAAGCTTTTAGGCTTTTAGCAGCAGTTCAGCTGAGATTCATTCTGGATGAGGACTCAGAAGCTTCCAGTCTGAGGAAACAGGATCAGCTGAGGAACTGGCCAGGTGAGGTGGCTGTGGCTTGTTCTGCTTCTCTGATCTTCCAGCGTTCACCCCAATACCCAGCTCCGGGTTTGATCTTATTAATAAGACCATTTAAGATTCATGCTACAGATCTTTAACCATCTGAAGGTAGATATTGTGTCTCCTTTTGTCTCTTTTTTCCCCCAAATTTTATTTTGTGTGTGAGTGTCTTGCCTGCATGTGTGTATGTGCATTCCTGGTGCCCTTGGAGGACAGAAGAGGGTGATAGGTGGGTGCCCTGAAACGGGAGTGGTTGTGAGCCACGGTGTGCTAGACATTGAACCCGGGTCCTCCGCAGAGACCCAGCGTTCCCAGTGCTACGCCATCTCTCCAGCTCCGTGTTTTGCACTTTTGAAGCACAATGTCGCCAGCTGTCTCAGACTTCTCTGTTCTTTAGGTTTCTTCCTCCTTCCCCTGACATCCTGGGTGCTCACACGTCTGCCGCTTCACCAGGATCTCTTGAAGAAGGTGCTGAGGGATCCCACCATGGTTTTGGCTGCCTCAGGACCAACCTTGCTTATCTTTGTTGAACCCTCCTTTAACGTGTCCAGGGCAGACTCACTTGGGCTCCTGACCATGGAATTACAGTGCAGGATCCTTTGGAATTTCAAAGTTTGAACATCTGTAAGCTGCTGTTAGATGGCCCACTTAGTGTGACACTTAGAAAATGTCATCCAGCTGTGGAACTTGGGAACGGATCAAGGGAGAGGACTGAGGTCAGTATCTCAGAGGAGTGAGTTTTTTTTTGGGGGGGGGGGAGTGTTCTTTGCTTGATTTTTAATCTAACCTTCACAATTACTATCCAGCAAAGCTTTTTATCTTGAATGAATGTGGCAAGCAGACAAGTCTCTTATAATATCTAAGACTACTCTAGAAGCCCTGTGGCGTTCAGAGTTGTTCTCCACACGGCCTTATCCCATGACGGTGCCTGAATTTTGATGGACCCGTCCGATCCTGTACTTATTCAACCTTGGAGAAATGCCTTCCACCTGGAAATAATGTCTGTGAATGAACAAAGATCACATGTACTGAGGGGCAAGTTTCACGATAGCTAATGTGATTTTTTTTTTCTCTTCCTTAATGCAAGTTTTCTTCCTATAGCACCACATGTCTGAAACGATCATTGAAATTAATGAGAAAATTTTACAGACTTTTATCAACAAACACTTTTTCCGACAGGACACATGATGGCACACAGACAAGATCTCGGTGAGAAGGAGCTGCCGACACTGAAGGTTTAGATGAGTCAGGTCCACGGAGCATAGGGGCAGCAGATGAGGAGAGGGATGAGGGAGGGGTTTCCGAGAGGCCACGCTGGCTACTGGGCACCTTAAGATCTGGGAAACACCAGCACGGATGTGTGCAGGCCTATCTGCTTGCTAGCCTTTTCCCAAGCATGGGACTTCGGGAGGGATCCACAGTAAAGGACCGAGGTGGGGTATCTTACCGAGAGGATTCAGGAACGGGAAATGAGACAGAAGCTATGGGACTCAGCAAATGAAGGGCCAGCTCAAGTGCCCCCAAAACTTCAGCGCAAAGTGGGGCTAAAAACCCAGAGAGGAGGTGTGTCCTGGGCAGTCCGCAGCTAACATGGAAGAGGACAGAAGAAACCCCGAAAGGTACAGACAGCACGTCCAAGTTAAAAAATCACTCTGTACTTTTGTGTGAAACTCCCTGAATGAGGTGAAGCTGAGCACAAATGAGGGAACTGGAAATCGAGGGAGAGATGAGGTAGGCAGATGTTCCCTGGAATGGGAAAGGAGCTCCTACAGAGGTGTCCCCGAGCCAGAGGAGCTGAGTCTCACCTGCCGAGGTGGCTTCTCACCCTGCCTCGGTTGGCTGCCTTTTCTTTTTCTGAGATTCAGGGTACGACACTTCTGCAGGAATTGAATCAGATTGCCAACATAACGGGAGAGGTTTGGGTCTAAAGTAAATGCTAGCACAAATGAGATTACTGTAAGAAAACATTTCCTTTCTACATGGTGAATTAGTACTAGTTTTGTTCTCCTGCCCAGGGGTCCCCCGAAATGTCATCACTGTGGATTTATTCGCACATATCGGTGGCACAGAGGTGTCCCCTTGAGTAAGTCCAACTGAGGTAATGATTGTTCTTTGCACACAGGCTGAAAAACAAAGGACAAATCCACAGACCTTAGCATGCAAACAAAGAGAATTGATCCATCCATTGTCATAATGTCCTTGGTGCTTGGTGCTTCCTGGCAGCTGCCTGAGCAAAATCTCCATTCTCCTTTCTGATAAAAAATAAAACTGGCTCGAGACCTTTAGCATCCACCTATCTTGAGAAATGAATGTGTCGTGTGAGCTTGGGCTGTTCCCACTCGGCTCCAGTGCTGGTTTTGTTCTTGTGTTGCCACAGGCTCGGAGTAGCATGACCCAGGAGTCTGGAAAGGACACACATGTCCTTTAAGACATTGGAGGCAATCTGAGGACCGGACTAAGAAGCAGAGGCTGGATGACAGGGCTGGATGCAAGAAAGGAGTGTGTAGGAGGCAGGCAGAGGGTGAGCTTCTAGCAGGTGGGCTCTGCCAATTGACGTCAGCAAGATGAGCCGCCCCCGGATGCTGCAGACCAGCTGGGCCAGCCAACTGTGCAGGCTGCGCTGAGTGCAGAGATGTTTGCACAGTGCCACTGACAGCGTCGCTCTCAGATGCAGGCTGTCTTCTGTGCTCGCGCAAGCCCGGGAGAGAGGGTGTCCTTCTAAACCCATTCTCCTTGGTTATGTAAGTCAGGAAGCTGCAGAAACTTAAATCAGGTTTGAACGCCGCAGTGATATCATTGAATCCACAGCTTTGGGAAACAAATGATTCTGTGAGTTCAGGCAGGGGCCAAGAACTTGACCTTCCCACCTGGGGGTGAGCATGGGGTGATTTTACAGATTGATAGTGGCCCCTGAAGAAGGGCAGTGAAAGCTCAGAGAGAGGGTGTCCCTACATCACCAGAGATTTCATGATTATTGGGCACACGGGAGAGGGCAGGTATTGGTGAAATTATTAAGGCTCTCCACGTAGTTAAAAGGGAGGTTTATTTTGTGGGGTAACTTACAAGTGAAGGGATAGGCAACAGGGTCTGGGAAAGGTGTGGCGCAGTCCTGCGGTGTTCTCTGGAGAACTCTGCTCGGTCTACCTCCAGCGTCCAGATTCCAGGAACCAAGAGAGCCAGCGCATCCAGATCTCAGGTCTTCAGGGCCTCTCTTGGCCCCGCCTTGTAGGCATGACAGTTACTGAAGCCTCAATGGGGGTTGGAACTTCCAGATCAAAGCTGGAATGGCTACCCACTACAGGCAGGTGGTGTTCCACACACTTGCATAAAGTCAGTGTACAGAGGAAATGATATTGCCTATCCTTGAGTTGACCTAGTGGCTGAGGCAGAAATAAAAATCAGACACAGGTAAGGTGTTTTGCCTGGGACAGAGATGCTATGCAGATAGCAGAGTCTGGGGGTTGGAAGGGCTTTTGGGAGGGGAAAGGTGGGAATCAGCAGGTGATCCTGGTATAGGCTTCCTTGACACAGTCATCTGAACAATGCCCTGAGGAGGTGAGAACCGAGCCACACAGATGTGGTGGGAGGAGTGGCCAGGCAGTGGGGTGAGCAGCTGGAGGCCCTGGGGTTGAGCTATGCCCTGAGGGGCCTGGGGCAGCCGGAGCAGCAACATCTCAACTGTGATGGGGAAGTTGTTGGGAGAGTCTACCAGGACTCCTCACCGCCACAAAGTGTCAGTGTTTTACTTTAAGCAGAAGGGAGAAGGTAGAGAGTGTTTTCCTTACTGTTCCATTGCTGTGAGGAGGCACCGTGACCAAGACAACTTTTAGAAGAAAGTATTTAGTTTGGGGCTTGCTTACGGTCTCAGAGGCTGAGTCATGAGTGTCATGGTGGGGAGTGTTGTGGCAGGAGGTACAGGAGGCATAGTGCTGGAGAAGTAGCTGAGAGCTTACATCCTGATCTGAAGGCAGGAGGAGGAGGAGGAGGAGGAGGAGGAGGAGGAGGAGGAGGAGGAGGAAAGACAGACAGACAGGCAGACTGGGTCTGGCATGGCTTTTGAAACCTCAAACCCCACCTCCAGTGACACACATCTCCTTCAACAAGGCCACACCCCCACACCCCCTAATCCTTCCCAAACAGTTCCACTAACTGGGAACTAAGCGTTCAAATATATGAGCTTGTGGAGGCCATTTTCACTCGAACCACCACAGAGGGACTGAGCAGAGAAGTCGGAGCTACACAACTGACTGAGTCTTTAAGAGTCATTTTGGGGGACATCTGGAGACGTGGTTTTGTGTGTGTGTGTGTGTGTGTGTGTGTGTGTGTGTGTGTGTGTGTGTGTGGTGTATGTATGTGCGTGTGTGTATAAAACACAGACCTGAAAATGTCACCCATTGGAAGGACTCCAGGCAGAGGCAGAAGAGGAACACTTGTGGGCTGTGAGAGATGAGTCAAGGCCCCACTCTGCTTCTGGCTGCCCTGCTTGGGGGAAGCTCTGTCACCATCCACAATAGCTGAGGACAGCCTTCCTCTCCTGCCTACCATGTGGCAGGCACAGAGCAGGCGCCAACTTCCTAAGCATGGGATATCTAGGTTGTGACCAATTAGGTTGTTAGAAGCAGGAAGTCTGGGCTGATTTTAGAAAATCAGATGGAACAGTGTTCTGGATATGTGCGTGCTTCTCCAGGGATGCCAAGATTACTAAAACTTGGCAGTCACACAGACTTTAGAAGATATGTACAGAACTTCATGGAGGTCAGGAAGGACAGATTTCAGGCAGTATATAGTATGGATTCTTTTTTTTTTTTTTATTTTCTTGAGACAGGGTTTCTTTGTGTAGCTTTGCACCTTTCCTGGATCTCGCTCTGTAGCCCAGGCTGTCCTCGAACTCATAGAGATCCACCTGGCTCTGCCTCCCGAGTGCTGGGATTAAAGGCGTGTGCCACCACCGCCTGGCTGGATGTCAGTCTCCAGGGTACTATTGAGAGGTGACAGAGTATCCAAGCTGTGAGACTTAGTCGGGTGTCTTTAGGTCCTCAGGGACCTGACACTGAGGGAGTTGCCAGACCCTTGCCTTTCTTCTTCTCTTTTGTTTCTGGGCACAAGATGAGTGGCTTTGCTCCAGCATGTGTTTCCACCACGACAGGCTGACACAGACCCCCAAACAACAGGGCCAACCAATCCCACCTCAGGGACACCAGCTTTTCCAAGGGCACGGCACTATATCCAATGACTAAGCCATGGAACCAGTCCACATGTCCGTCAGTGCATGAGTAAAGATAATGTTGATTTATTCAGCCATTAAGAAAACAACATTATGTCTGCAGAGAACCTGATGTGAAGGAAAATAAGCCAAGCTCAGAAAGATGACTATCTTGTTCTGTATTTCATATGTGGAACCTAAATTGTATGCGCACAGCACAGATACACATTATACATGAAAACATATGGGGAACTACCTGAGAAGGGGAGGAAGGAAGGAGGGACAAGGAAGGCTGTTGCCATGACTACAGACAAAGAAGATACCGTGCTTGAACTAATATGGTCTGAAGCCTATGGCTTCTTACAATGAATGTACACTAATAATTTATTTTTAATTTTTTTTCTGTTTTTTTTTTGAGACAGGGTTTCTCTGTGTAGCTTTGCGCCTTTCCTGGAACTCACTCTGTAGCCCAGACTGGCCTCGAACTCACAGAGATCCTCTTGCCTCTGCCTCCCAAGTGCTGAGATTAAAGGCGTGCGCCACCACTGCCCGGCCACTAATAATTTTTAAAGGGACAAATAAAATTGCAAACAAGAGAAGAGAAAAGAAAACATTCACGCTGGGAAGCAGTGTGTGCAGCCTTGTGAGTGAGACTACGCTGACTGAAGGTTGTGGTAGTGTCTGTGGGCTCAGTGATGCTGAAGGTGGGGCGTGGCTACTGGGACTGATTTGACTACTCCCACCTTTTACGGTAACTGTGTGATGGGCTCCCTAACCATGCCTTGGCCATGCGCACATGATCAACCTGAGGCTGCAGAACACGTGTAGCAGAGGGCTATTTTCTTTTAAATTTGCCCTTGTGTAATGAGAACCATTAGAGAAGGTCATATTTTTGTCATTTGGTAGATGTTTCAGAGTGTTGCATGTGTGGTGGAACTGGCCCCTTCTTTTCTCACTTCTTCTCTCTCTCTTTTTCCTTCTATTGATTCTCTCTGCCTGTCAGTCCCTCCTCTTCTCCTGCCTTGCTATTGGCTGTTCAGTTTTTTATTAGACCAATCTGTGGTGGTATTGTGTTCCCCAAAATATTGTGCACCCTAATAAACTTATCTGGGGTCAGAGAACAGAAAAGCCACTGGATACTTAGGATAGGCAGTGGTAGCACACGCCTTTAATCCTAGCATTCCAGAGGCAGAAATCCATCTGTTCAAGGATACAGCCAAGCATGGTGACTCACGCCTTTAACCCCAGAAAACGAGCCTTTAATCCCAGGGAGTGATGGTAGAAAGCAGAAAGGTATATAAGGTGTGAGGACCAGAAACTAGAAGCTTTTAGCTGGTTAAGCTTCAGGCTTTCGAGCAGCAGTTCAGCTGAGATCCATTTGGATGAGGACACAGAAGCTTCCAGTCTGAGGAAACAAGACCAGTTGAGAAGTTGGCCAGGTGAGGATGGAACCCAGGACCTCAAAGTAAGCACTGGACCATGAAACGACACCCCCAGCTCCTTTGCAGTTGAAGTTATTTTATTGCCCTTCCATAAGCAGCCTTTTCAGATGTTGGAATCTGCCTGATGCTGTGACTTCCTGAGGGCATATAGTCTACTGGAGAAAGATGTGTCACCGGTACAGATGGTTAACATCACCACGTCCTCTTCGATGTGCTCTGCTGCCTCCTTTACTTGCGCCCACAGGAGCCGACCAACTATCCCTGGGATGTTGACCACTGGGAACCAGATCCGCAAAAACAGCTGAACCAATTTTCCACGTTCAGCTTGGCATCTCCGTTGATGAGAGTCAAACCACTTAGCATCTTATTCTCAGACAGGTTTGTGGCGTCTGCCTGTGGGAGGCAGACACAGTTGCATTTGGAGTTTTTATTTGTGAGCTAAGCTTAGCAAACGCAGCTCAAACATTTTACAGGGAACTGAGGGTGCATAAAGCTGCTGCCTAATTCAGCCCCCCTCCCCCTGGACTTGCTCTCAAGGGTGGCCTGGCGCATCACATGATGCTTATTTGGAACCTGGCAGTAGTATCAACGGATAATTTATCTCACACAGAACATTGCATTTTAAGGTAATGATTGTACATCCGAAGTGTACTAACAGTTCACTGGAAAGTTCAAGGTGTTCACTGAACTATACCTTTCACAGCAGATGCAGCAGGCGGAATACAGAAAAACATTTTCATGAGACCTCCTTTGCCCGGGTTCTTAATTTCTTCATCACACATGGAAAGACCTCAGAGCAAAACAGCCTGTGAGATTTGACTTACCTGTGCCTCGGTATGGATTGCAGCCAGCGTGGTCCCCTGCCCTACCCCAGAGCTCCGTTCTCAGAGCTATTTCCTTGTGTGCTTGCTGTCTGCATAGGCAGCAGCTCTCTTCCTTTACCCCAAGGCAATTTGGAGAGTGTTGGAAAGGACAAAGTGACAAGAACACATATGAGTTACCTTTGTCTCGTCCCCATGTGACACAGTAAATAAACCTAAGCACTGGCTGCTCTGGACGTGGTCCTTAGCTCAGGGCAGCAGGAGCTGTGGACATGGAGATCCTCCTCCCAGACCACAGGGCCTGTGGATGACCACAGCTGCCTCCTAGACACCCACCCTAAGTGCTCAGGAAGTCCTCAGTCCGATGCCTCCAGCCAGCGCTGTCCCTGGGTGTGAGGTCTTGCCTTCAAGCTTCCCTGGGGCTGGTGGGAATGGTCTAGCCTGGTGGCATCTGGCCTTCAGTCTTCAACCTGCTCCCGTTCCCCTCCCGCACAGATTCCTCTAGTAGACGGTCCTTGAGGAGCCACTTGGGAAGAGCTGGAATTTTCCTGAGCTGCTCAGCTTAGCTTGGAAGCCCCAGTCCCTGGAGCTGACAGAAGCGCAGGGGGCAGGGAGTTTGCGGCCACCATGCCCGCCCCACCCCTCTCTAGGGATGCTTTAACACAGGAGGAGCAGGGCTGTGAGGCTGAGCTCAGGTTCCAAAAGGCTGGCTGCTCTCCACAGTCCTCTAAAGTGGGCTCGGTTAACTAAATAGACATTAAAACAAACTTCTGCACAGCCAGTAGGAAGTGTGCGAAAGACAGCTGGCTACTTTGTATCCGAGGCAGGGGGAACAGCGAGCTTTCGAGCTGAACCTAAAAGGGCAAAACTTGCTCCTGACCGGTGAGCGGGAAAATTAGGGCATGACTACTCCAGTACGAGGGGCTTAACAAACGCAGCCTCACCACACTGGCTCCCAGCTGTCCAACCAATCCAGGAATTTTGTTGCCTTGCTGTAGGATACAGTGAAGTGTGGATTTTTGTCCCATCACAGCCTTGGCCTTCCCAACCTGAAACCTCTACAACAGTGGTTCTCAACCTGTGGGTCGTGATCCCCTTTGGGGGGATCAAATGACCCTTTCACAGGGGTTGCATATCATTACGATTCATAACAGTAGCACAGTTATGGCTATGAAGGAGCAATGCAGTAGTATATGGTTGATGTAAATATAACACGAAGAACTGCATTAAAAGGTCGCGGCATCAGGGAGGTTGAGAGCCGCTGCTCTGGAGCCATCGACTGGAAGACGTTCTCAGAAGAGTGCCCTGAGTGGCCACCCTCTGTCTGAGGGGACAGATGCTGGGACTTGGGGTGACATTTACACAGACTTGGTCTGTTGGTCCCTTCCTTACCCCACCATCTGTGGGAGGCACAGGGAAGAGAGGTGGGGAGGGCTGCGTGCTGTAAGCAGACCCTTCCCCTATCTTACGTACATTGAGCTGTAGCTGTAATGGACACACAAGAGTCTGCGCTGGCTTCTCCAGACTTCCTAGTACACAGTGACAGGCCTCCCTAGCTCCTGGCTCCCTGCACTAAGCCCAAGTATCCCGGAGGGGCCAAAATATTTGCCATTTGGCCTCATGCCTAGAGTGGAAACTTGGGCTGTTTAGCTTCACTTATTTCCTTCTTTAAAAAAGAAATCGGCTTATTAACTTTAGGCATAATTTGTGTATGTAGAAACGAAGCCCAGTCGAGTGTACTCTCTGATTAGTTCTGACAAGAGCGTGCAGCAATGGAACCGCTACCATAATCCAGTTATGAAGATGTTTCCATGGCCCCCCAAGTTCCCTTCAGGCAGGGACAATCACTTCTCAGCAGCTTCTTTCTAAGGTCTCAGAAAAACAGAGCCATACACTTTTAACTTGGCTGGACTTCCGTGGAGGCACAGAATGCTGGTGAAGTTCATTCTGCTATGGACCGAATATTTGTGTTCTCTAGAAATCACACGTTGAAGCCTACCTCTCACGAGGTGATATTAGGAGGTGGGCCTTTGGGAGTGGTGAGGCCTTAGGGATGGAGCCCTTTAGATGGTGTGTGTGTGTGTGGGAACAAGGAATCCCTCTGCTCTCTACCTGTGAGGAGACACAGGTAGGCAGGGCTACCTGCAAACCAGGAATCGGGCACTTATTAGACACCTGATCCACAAAGAACACCCTGGACTTCATCTCCAGAGCTGTTGGTGGTTTAAGGGTGTGCCTGGTGTTTAAACCACCCACCGATGGACATTGCAATACAACAGTCTGGACTGAAGAAGATGTACACATTTTGCTGTTTGATTGTACCCATTTGTGGCAGCTGAATCCTGGGTCTTCCACACTCAACCACAGCTTGCTCATTCTCTGTGGGATAGAGTGCAGGTACACGTGGATTAGTTCTAACTTTCAGATAGGTATGAGTGAGAAGATACGCTTGGTGTGTTTGTGATGTATTTCTCCTCTCCATTCCCCTTGGAGAGGAGAAAAGTGTCTGTGTACTGGGAAGAGGAACCTCCATTGAAGACTGGCCTCTGTAGGACTGGCCTGTAGGCAAGTCTAGGGGAATTTTCTTTTCTTTTTCAAGACAGGGTTTCTCTCTGTAGTCCTGGCTGTCCTGGAACTTGCTCTGTAGAGGTCCACCTGCCTCTGCCTCTGCCTCCCAAGTGCTGGAATTAAAGGCATGCACCACTACCCGACTTTTGAATTTTCTTGATTAATGACTGATGTGGGAGGGCCCAGCCTACTGTGGGTGTTGCCACCCCTGGCCAGGTGGACCTGATCTGTGTAAGAGGGCGAGCAAGCCATGGAGTGGAGTTCCTCTATTGCTCCGAAGGGCCCGCTTCAGCTCTCTACTGACTTCCCTCCATGCCTGGCTGTGATCTTGGAGTTGTAAGGTGTCCTCTGGAAACCCTTTCCTCCCCAGCTTGCTTCTGAGTCTTGGTGTTTGGTCACAGCAACAGGAAGCAAAGAAGCCCCACATCACGTGAGTACTCTCCAGTCTTCTGTATTATGTGAAAAAACAATTATGGACAATTGGTGCTATGCTGTCCCCTAAATATTAGATGGATTTCCCCAGGGAAGCCTTCCTACTTTGAAGATTTCTTTATGAAAGTACTTTTTTTAAAGTAGCTTTATTGTGGAATAATTTACAAGCCCTAAAATTCGTGTGTCAAAAGCACACAGGTTTAAAGCATTTCGGTAAATTTCCACAGCGGTGTGCCCTCCTCACACCTCTCCGGGGTCAAGCGTTGTCAGTCCCTGGAGTCTGGAAAACTGTTGGCCCTCTTTCTGTTGTGGTACGTAACAAACATCTGTTGATGTCTACGTAACAAACAACCTTTTCTCTTAATAGTCGATCAGTTAACATGTTGTTTTTGATGTTCACTCATTTGGCTTTGCACGTCAGCAGAGTGTGTGTGCTTTTTACTTCATTCACTCAGTAAGATTCCATGAATGGACATAACACAGTCTTTGGTTTTCATGTGGTAGCTGATAAACATTTGAAAACATACTCTCTGGTTTGGTTTTGGTTTTGTTAACTAACCCATTAACGTGAACACATCAATCTTTGTGAAGATATGTTTTTATTTATCTAGCGGTGAAACCACTGGGCTATGCAATTAGGGATATTGCTTTAACTTTTATTTATTTACTCGTATGTTTATCTGTTTATGGACAGTGTCTTTCCTTGGGCGTTCACTGCGATGCCTGTCCATACCTTCTGGAGCAATGCTGAAGGGTGTGGTATTAGGGATTGCCCTTGCCTCCTTGAGTCTAGTGGAATAATAGCTGCTCATTCTGTACCACGAGGTGTGACATTCTTTCTCAAGTTGTTCCCTGCCCTGTGGAAGCGCAGCCACTGTCTCCTCTCAGTCCCTTTCGCTGATGAGACTCCTCAGCCTGTAGTCTTCCCTTCCTGGGTATGGAGAGCCCAGCTCTCAGTCCATCCCTCCTCTTGCTCTATTTCTGGCTGCTTTTTCTTTCTCTGATTGTTTAGAGCCTCTCTATATTTATCCTGTTTGAGACCCACCAAGCTTCCAGAGTCTGCAGATTGATTTCTTTGATCCATTCCGAGAAATGATCAGCCGTTTCTCTTCAGTTACTGCTTCTGTCCCCACTTGGTTATTCCCGTCTGTCTGGGGCTTTAAGTCATGCGAACCTGCTTCCGGTCATCCCTGTTCTGCCTTTGGGTTGTGTTCTGCACGGCTGTGCACATCTGTCTTTTATCAGCTCGGTCTATGTGTTGCCTTTAAACTTTAGACTTGTCTACTGTCCTCTTTCTTTGGCTTATGGCATCTTTCAATTCCAGGACTCATTTTTGGGGCTCTTTTCAAGCCCAGTGTGGTGCTGTTCAGTTAAAATGTTTGAACCCAGATGAGCTGGGGGGACCAGTGAGCAGCCTCTCCCTGGTCTGCTTGGAATATGTCATTGCATTGTTCCTGTCAACCTCACTGCCTGAGCAGACTCCTCTTCCCTTTGGGTTCCTGGCACCGTCTCCTCCCCGATCCCCTGCCTCTCACCACGGCCTTTTCCAGAGCCTTTCCAACCCTGTAACTGAAGAGATCCTTCTAAGAGGCATCTCACATTGAGCCGTTCTTCCCAGCAATAGAGACATTGCTGTCTGTCCATCTGGCCCAGAGCCAAAGCAGGATTGCTAGCAGGACCTCCAGGGTTTTCCACTGCCATGTGTGCTGGTCTCTGCTATTTATTTTTTCTCCTGCTTCAGACATGCTAGGCATGCTCTCGCCCAAGTCCACTCTAACACCATCAGCTCCACAAGACCCCTCTTAACTCATCCCATTGCCTACTGTGTTTGTTTGTCCCCCAAAGCACGGAGCCCGTTATAGCATGTCACTTCCCCACGTCCTTAATTGTCTGGTCTCCAACTTTAAGGCAGGAAGAGTTTATTCTGGCTTAAGGTTTGAGGGGCTATGTTCCATCCTGTTAGGAAAGGCCTGGCAGCATGACCAACGGGGTGACTGGTCACATTGTGTCCACACTCTGGAAGCAGCAAGTGAACAACCAGAATATCAAATCTCAAGGCCCGCCCTCCAGGACTCACTTCCATCAGCAAGACTCCACCCACTAGGGGTTTTACCACCTTCTCAAACAGCCCCACCAGCTGGGGACCAAGTGTTCAGACACACAAGGCTTTGATGGGGACATTCCAACCACAACATGGCCTTAACAGATTGTCCCAGCATGTGTTCACATCATGTGCCAGGATGTTCTGAGACGGAAGCCCAGGACTTACCTGATTTCCCTTCCAATGGGCTTCTCCTCTGTCGCAGTCGCCTCCAGGATCCACTTGGTGTGTCAGGACATGTCTCCTGCCCCTGTTCATTCAGAAACACCAATCATGGGATACCAACCAAGGCCCATGGATGTGTTCTCAAAGTGGGATTTGTGCTCGTGTCTAGAAGGTCTGTGATCTCCTTTAGAAGTCTGGAATGTGTCCGTGGAGAGACACTCCTGGCAGACAACATTTCAAAGGCTTACTCCTCCCAACATGGAACGACTATATCTATATTAATCAAGGTTCATTTGCAGGTATTTTTGTGCATAATTCTTAACTCTTATTTTTACACAAGACAATTTAGAAAGCAGACATACTCAAAGCTAAGTGATGAGGCCCTCAAAAATCACCAAGAGAAAAAAATTGTGAGGAGTCATGTTGTAAAATTCAGGCCTCAAAAATCTTTAAAAAATTATTTTATGTTTATGAATATTTTACCTGCATGCATGTCTGTACTCCATGTACCTGTCTGGTGTCTACAGGAGTCCGAAGAAGGACACTGGTTTCCCTGGGTTTGGAGCTATTTTAAACCTTTATTTTAAACTTTCTATTCCTTTCTCTCGATTTATAAAATTAAAACCCAAGACCATCTAGTTAGTGCCGTCGAGGGCTGAGGCTTTTCTTAGACAGCAATGTGCAGCCAGGGAGGAGGATAGAACGCATGCATGCAGCTGAGGTGATCCGTTGCAGCAGAATGAAGCTGCTGGGAAGCCAGCATTGGCAGAGCTGGGAGACTTCCTGATGGAGACCTTACATCTTTGGCGGCCGGGTGCCCTTCCTCCACTGCACACACCCAGGGTGCTGGAATGTTGAAATACAGGGAAGACACAAGGGTATTTGAGAATAAAATACAGGCAGAACGTTTTCTAGTTCTCCGTCCCCATGCGAGATTACTGCATGTTTGTGAGCAGTGCTCCTGGAGGGACGGGGAAGGTAGAGGTTCATTTAACAAGTCTCGCAATTCCTTTCATACGGCAGTGTTGCAAGCGACTGTAAGTTATGGCTTGCCATGCGCGGGCAGCCTGGCCTGCGCTCCCTCCCTCGGTCCTCGGCCACAGCAGGGCGACCCGACTCCAGAAGAGGGGTGGCTGCCTGATCCAATGCCAGGCAGCGCTTGCACCAAGCTCACGCTTCCCTGTCTCGCTCTTCAGCACCCAGGCGCTCTCAGCTCAGGGCAAGGAGCCAGGCCGCGGCAATGACGCAAGTGTTCATGAGAGCAGGGGCGGGGCCGGCGGATGATAGGCACCACCCACCCTGCCGTGTCCTTGGTGAACATGAGCGCAGGGGCGGGGCCAGCGGATGACAGGCACCACCCACCCTGTCGTGTCCTTGGTGAATATCAGTGGCTGGACTCAGTCCTCCACCAGGACCTGACCCACCTCCTTCCTCAAGACAGCTTCTGGTTCCCCGTCTCTCCACTGACATCTGTTCACGACTCCATCTGCAGATATTTCCAAAATGTACCATTTTACCCATTTTTTTGAGTGCTAAAAAAAAGGCCTAATAATTTTCTGGTAGTATTTCTAACCCAGCTTCCTTAATTTTCTACTGAAAAACTGTCCACCAAAGTCCATCATCCAACAGTTTAGTAAACTCCATGATATTTGTGACATCTAGTCTCTGCTGAGCACTTACTCATGACAGGAGAGGGGCTGGGAGGAACATGAAGGATGGTGGCTATTTCTGAAGCTGTCTTAAGGCTAAGGCCTCATGCCCATTTCTTCTTCATGGTGCACTCAAATTGCCACATGCCACATTCAATATAAACAGAGCCATCAGCAGCATTTATGGGTCACATCCTGATGATGCTGAGTGAAGATGTCATCCTTAGCTTTTCTTTCACTGGTCACCTTGCCCCAGTCCCTCTCTGGTGGCACCGAATCTCCACCCTTGCTGGAGAGAAAAGTCAGGGAGCTGTGGGCAGCTGTGTGGTTACCTCCTAACTCGCTTTCCTTCGCTGGCAATCCCCGACGTGTTCGCTCCTATGAAGAGACGCGCAGACAGCTTATTCTGCTGCAAAGATGTGACGGGGAGATGAGGGCTGGAAGCCATAGTTCCCAACATAGGGTGTGGAACCTAGGGCTGCCGGGCACCACCGTGGTCTTAGAATCTGGGGTTCACCTCCAGCCTCAGCTGTTTTTAACTCTCCCAAGAGAGAGAACCAAGAAGAGAAAGGTCTGGAAGTCCAAAGAGCAGCCCCCCTCTGCCCCTGGGTGTTATCTATGGTCTTCGAGTAAATTTGGGGATTGGAGAAGGGGAATTAGAACTGCTTTGGATTTATGAATCGTCAGGGCGAGCTCTTTGCAGCTGCTTAACCTGAAGTTACTGCTCTGAGGGCAGCCCCGCCTCCCCTCAGTGGTTAGTGATGAGCTTTGGCTTATGTACTGTGAAGTTCTGGCATGCTATCTTCAGGACAGACCCCAATCAGGCAGCTGGCAGCCTCAGCAAAGCTCAGTGTGAATATTTTCGGCCATCTCCTAGGTCCTGTGGCTGCTCCTAGGGCTGGCTCCCACGGAGGCAATGTGTTTTCTACTTCTACTGCATCCTGACCCCTAGAAAGTCCTCACCCCACTGTCTAGCTCCTGGGGTTCCCCTCTGGGTGGGTCTGGAGAAAAAAAGGAAGGCACTGTGAGTGTGGACTTCTCACCTCCCAGGGTAGCAGAGGCAAACCACTTCAGTTTGTGGTAGGTAGCTAGCCACGATTAGATACATCAGAGTGAATTTATCTTGTTAGAGATCTGCATGCAAGTCCACATCCCACTGTAATCCGTTCAGGATCCCCAGAGCTCTTTCTAGATTGCTTTTGCTGCTGCTGCTGCTGCAGCTCCTTGAATCGCATGCATAGTTGGAGTCTTGTTCTGTGTAACAACGGGCACCACCGGCATTGCTTGTAATTCATTTGTGCTCCAGCAGAGTCCAAGGTCAGCAGTTCTGTCTGACCTCCCCACCCCCACTTGCCTGCAAACCCCATTCCCCACTCTTCTTGCCGCAGAGAACCTGCGTGCGTATCCAGCGCCCTGCAAAAACCATCTCCACCACGCAGGAGAAATGGCTCCGCAGCCCTCTTGCCTGCACTAGCCGCTGCACCATGCACGCTCCGTGCATAACTGCAGGTCTCAAAATATAAAGATAAAATATTTAAAGTTTTTTTTCTTCCCCCTGTAGAGAGAAAGGCGCCTTTGGTTCCCCTCTCCCCCTTCCCTGGATGGCGGGGGTGGGTGGTGGGTGGATGGAGGCGGAGGTGTTGTCCACGTGCCAGGCATGACGGCCTAACAGTTTGATTTATGAGTCTGATAATAAAAATCCCATTAGGCGCCTCTCATTGAGAAAAAGGAACAGGAGGAAAAAAAAGCCCTGTGTGTCACCAGGCAGCATTGACGCAGGCGGCTCTGACGGCAGCAGCCTCAGGCCGGGCGGGGGGCACAGGGGGACCGTGAGGGGCTCGCGAGGGCCGGCTGCCTGAGAGCAGGGCCGACTGGCTGCTTCCCGTCCTCCTTCCCACCCCCACAGTCTCAGCCTCCCTGCCACCACTTTGCAACCTCAACTAGCCACTGTACCCCTCGGTCATTCCCCAAGTGTCGCCCACTCCCACCCCCATCTTCTCTACAATGCCCCATGCTCTGGGAGATCCTGAAGCATCTTAAAGACCCTCCCTACGCTGACAGGATTACCAAGCGGCCCCCTCCACCCCCCACCCCCCGGGGTGGGTGGGCGAACAAGGGAGCAGGTCTGGGGGGCTGCAGAGCTCCATCTCGAAGGGAAATGCGGAGCATCAGTTGGGGTTAGGAAGCATTATTTCCTGGGAGACTATGGCACTGCTAAACAGGGGGACCCCTCCAGATGCAAGCGGCGCCCCCCCCCCCTTTTCCAAGCAGTGCCTGCTGTTCACCACCAGAGTTTTATTCTGTTTAAAAAGTCATTCAGACTAGAAAAAAAGATTAATGCCCATCTGGTACCAGGCCCCCTGCCTGTGGCTTGAGCCTCATCAGGACAGCTCAGGGCAGGGTGAGGGCATGAGTCTGTGGCAGTCTCAGAACTGGGGTGGTGCAGATCTGCCCCCTGGCCCAGTAGAGATTGTACTTTTCCTATCAAAACATCGCAAGCAGAGGCCTGCAGAAGCAGACTGGTGCTCCAGGCCAGCTGGCTTCTGCAGTCTCCAAGACCCAATGGCCAGCTTTCAGTCTCTTGAATGTGCTAGGAAATTAATCCTTATAGCGCAGGCCAGAGCTTGGAACCTATCATGGCCCCAGCCAGCTCTTTCTTGTTCTATACTCTCCACACCCACCCGGGGAGGCAGGTGCATCTTTATCAGGTCCAGAGAGCCTGGAGGGAGACTTGGGAAAAACCCCTTGTCATTTTCTTCTCTACATCATCGAACCCCTGCAGTCCCGACATTAAAACATGAGGCCCCGGTTCTCATAAACAAAGACTCACAGTGATAGTATTCACAAGAGCCCAAAGGTGGAAACAGCACAGATGTTCACCAAAGGATGACCGACTAGGTTAGCCTAGGTTAGCCCATGGGGTGTACTGAGCTGTAATCAAGTGAAGCCCCACACCTGTGACCAATGGGGTGACCCTTGAGGACAATCTGCTAAGTGAAACAAGCCAGCCACAACGGATGCACGTGATTCTACTTATCCCAGGCACCCAAGTGTCTGAGCATGGACTGGAGCAAGGGACTGGGGCTGGGGAGGAGGAGTCACTGTGAAAGGGGAACAGTTCCTGTTTGGGATGATGGGAACATTTTGGGACTAGATAGGGTGAATTTCACAATATTTAATCAGCTGTGTAGTAGGTGAGGACCTGAGCTTGAGACGTTTAGTGTATTAGATTGTATGCTCAAAGATGCATGGCGGAATGGTTCCATTTATGATAAAAACACGCAGAGCCTGTGTACCTATCTCTCTGGTATAGGGGTACAAACATGGCTGTGTCTGGAAATGGTACTTTTCTCAGGTTTACCCCCCAAAAAACTCATTTCTAGGAACAGCATACCCCACATCAGCTGCTGCTAAGGGCTCTGGATTATAGGGACAGGTGAGGCAAGGGCCACAAGGCGTCACCCTTGCATTTTCACATCTGCAGAAGGACAATCATATCTATACAAGCATGTGTGGGCATACCTACATAAGGATCACCATGTCTACATGTCTACATAAGCATGTGTGGGCATACCTACATAAGGATCACCATGTCTACATGTCTACACAAGCATGTGTGGGCATGCTTATATAAGGATCACCATTTTATATGTCTATAGGAGCATGTTTGGGTGTGGGCTAAGTTCCTGTGCCCTCTGGGCAGTTCCTCTGATGTTACCACATTACAAGGACCTTGTAGCCCTAACCTCAACACTACGACAGGTGCATTCATGTAGTGGACTTGGTGGAATAATTATGCTGGACATAATTTTGACCTTTGTGGTTACTGCTAAACTAAGTATATATATTTTCTATTACTTATTGCAAATTTTTGACTGAAAACAACAGAAACACATGGTCCATTTCTACTAGTCCAGGGTAGAATGGGTTTTTCTTGGGCTGTGATTAAGGTGTATGGCCGCTGCACTCTTTTGGTGGCACTCTTGGAAGAGTTTGTCTCTTGGCCTCCTGTAGCTATTAGAGGCTCCTGTATCCCTTGGCTCACAGCCCCTCTCCAGCCTTAGCACCAACAGCTCTGCAGTCTGTCTGCCCACAGCCAACCATCCTGAGCGTTCTTGTGAAGAATTAGCCCACAGGCATGGCATGGTGGGGGCTTCTCTCTCCATCTCATACCCACAACCTTGATCTCATCTGCAGAACGGCCCTTGTCATGTAGCCCCAGGTTCTGTAGATTAGGGTTCCATTTCTCCTGTGTCTCTTGTGTCAGTATCCAGCTCCCACCGTAGTAGTAGTGTCCTGGGACGGTCTATCATTATTAACCTGGGTTTGTTGATTGACTAACTGAGTCTTGATTCATAGCTGAAGTCCATAGACAGCCCATGGTCTCTCAGTGCCATTTGCTTCTGGATAGAGGCAAAATATAGACCCTGGGCAGATTATCTGGCTAGTGCCAGGTGCCATTTTAACACCCACACCCCCCTACCCCCCCATCACCCCTGCCATGTGTTGCTGGAGACAGAAGCCAGGGTCTCATGTATGCTAGGCAAGCCTCTACCAATGTGCTACAACCTACAACGAAATGTTCAGTAATAATTTTTGAACCAGGGACCCTGTCTTTTCATTTTGCATCGGACCCAGTAGTTTTCAGCAAAGAAGTCTTAATGGTGAGTGTTTGATTGTTAACTTGACAGGAACTAGAAACACTTTCTGGGTCCCATCTGACTATCGAACAGTCCTTGAAGGGAGGAGTGAGGGTTAAGAAATAATAGATATGAAAAATAGAGATGTAGACATAAAAGAAAAAGATAGAGATACAGAATAGCATCGGGAGGGCTCTGGGTCAATACCACAGTCGCCCCGAGTTTATTCCTCACAGCCTTTTTATACACCAGGAAGGGAAGCGGCAAAAGACCTCTCCCTCTCAAGGACACAATGGTTCCAAGTACAAACAAAACATCTAGTAGCCACACCTTACGGCAAAATATCTTGTAATTAGGCCTTGAAGGATAAGACACCTGGTAACCACACCTTTGGCCAAAACATCCCATTGTGCAGCCTTGGGGGGCAAAGCAAGCTCAGGCTCTCTGACCTTGGGTCAAGATGAAATAAGGCCACACTATGGAGTTCCCACAATCACTGGACACACGGGTCTCTGGGCACGGCTGTGGAGGGTCACTGTGATTCTTAGTTGATGTGGGAAACCCTGCACACTGCTGCTGCCACCATGCCGGACAGTTTGCACACGTGTGTTAATTCCAGCGCTCTATCAAAGTTGCTGTGAGCGCAAGACTTTGAGGCCCTTAGCCTTTTCCTATGGACTCGCATAAAATATTTTATGGCCAGACTTTGATTTATTTTTCTGCTTCCTTGATTTTCTTTTCATAAGAGGTTTGGTTTCCCAGTTGATGTCATCCGTGGACACTGTTCAATGTATCATATCTTTTTACAATGACTTATAGTTAAAATATTTTTATTAGTTATTTTAGCTTGTACTTGATATAAATGGGAAAAAGGAAGACATAAAAGATAATTGACAGGCATAAGCAACTTCTTTTAAAAGGAAACTCGAGACGTTTGAAATGAAAGATGTCGACTGCTGCCCTTTTCTAGTTTGTATAGAATTTCCTCAGACATGTGGTTGTGTGAGATTTTCCCTTCTTTGATCAAGTCCAGCATATGCATGTATATGTTTCAACAACCA